TTTGCCTTTCACTGCTTCTTTTACTTTGTTGTTTACCCACAGTGGCATTTTTTTGGTTCTCTATGTTTTTTTAATTTGGGGTATACATTTAAATTGAGCCTCTAGTATGGTGTCTTTAAAGTTTCCATGCAGCTTGCAGGGATTTCATTTTTGGTGCTGTATCTTTTTAATTTCTGTTGAACTAATCTCCTCATTTTTGTGTAGTTCCCCTTTTTGAAATTAACTGCTACAGTGTTGGGCTGCTGTGGTGTTTCCCCTGCCACAGGGATGTTAAATTTAATTATATTATGGTGACTCTTACCAAGCAGGCCACCTTTTGGACCAGATCCTGTGCTCCACTTAGGACTAAATCAAAAATTGCCTCTCCTCTTGTGGGTTCCAGGACTAGCTGCTCCAAGAAGCAGTCATTTAAGGAGTCAAGAAACTTTATCTCTGCATCCCATTCTGAGGTGACATGTACCCAGTCAATATGGGGATAGTTGAAATCCCCCATTACTATTGAGTTTTTCATTTTAATTGCCTGTCTAATCTCCCTGAGCATTTCACAGTCACTATCACCATCCTGGTCAGGTGGCCGGTAATATATCCCTACTGCTATACTCTTATTATTAGAGCATGGAATTACTGTCCACTGAGATCGTATGGTACAGTTCGGTTCATTTAAGATTTTTACTTCATTTGGTTCTATGCTTTCTTTCACATATAGTGCCACTCCCCCAACAGCATGACCCGTTCTGTCCTTCCGATATATTTTGTACCCTGGTATTACTCTGTCCTGTTGATTATCTGTGATGCCTATTATATCAATATCCTCATTTAAAACAAGGCACTCTAGTTCACCCATCTTATTATTTAGACTTCTAGCATTGGTATATAAGCACTTTAAAAATTTGTCACTTTTTAGCTGTCTGCCATTACGTGATGTAATTGAATGGAACTTTTTTTCATTTGACTGTTTCTCATCAGATCCTACTTGTATTTTATCATCTTCCATCCTCTCCTCCTTACTAGGGCATAGAAAATCTCCATTAATAGATCCTCCCCTAAAGGATGTCGCTGTCTGAACCACATGCTCCTCCACACCTGTTGGCTTTCCCCCAGACCTTAGTTTAAAAACTGCTCTACGACCTTTTAAATTTTAAGTGCCAGCAATCTGGTTCCATTGTGGTTTAGGTGGAGCCCATCCCTCCTGTATAGGCTCCCCCTTTCCCAAATGTTTCCCCAGTTTCTAATAAATGTAAACCCCTCCTCCCTACACCATCATCTCATCCATATATTGAGACACTGCAGTTCTGCCTGTTTAACTGGCCCTGTGCATGGAGCTAGAAGCATTTCAGAGAATGCTACCATGGAGGTCCTGGACTTCAATCTCTTACCTAGCAGCCTAAATTTGGCCTCCAGGACCTCTCTCCTATGCTTCCCATTGTCACTGGTACCTACATGTACCACAACCACCAGCTCCTCCCCAGCACTACACATAAGTCTATCTAGATGTCTCAAGAGATCCTCAACCTTTGCACCAGGCAGGAATGTCACCATGCAGTTCTCCCAGTCATCGCAAACCCAGCTATGTTTCTAATGATCAAATCCTCCATAACTATTACCTGTCTCTTCCTAATAACTGGAGTTCCCGATCCCGGAGAAGTATCCTCAGTGCGAGAGGATACCACGACATCATCTGAAATGAGAGTCCCAACTATGGGATCATTTCCCTCTACTTCAGTTGGCTGTTCTCCTTCCCTGAGACTTTCATTCTCCTCAAGAGCACAGAGGTTGTCAGACCAGGGGTGGGACTGTTCTACTGTGCCCTGGAAAGTCTCATCTATATAGCTCTCTGTCTCCCTTAGCTCCTCCAGTTCAGCCACTCTGGTCTCCAAAGCTCATACATGGTCTTTGAGGGCCAGAAGTGCCATACACTGAATGCACATGTATGTCACCTGCCCATAAGGCAGGTAATCATACATGCTGCAATGGATACAATAAACTGGATAGCCCCCACTCTGTTGCTGGATTTCTGCCTGTATTATCTTTTTACTCCTTAAGCTCATTCCTTTGTTGTTTTGTTTTTTTATCAGGGGGTGTTTGGCTTTAAATTTAAAGAATGTTCAGTATATCTAGCCCCCCCCGGCCCCCCTCGTAAAACTTCCCTGTTAGCCACTCTTGTTCACTAGCTCCTCTGGTCACTTAGGAGCAGGCTTTTTAAAGCTCTGGTCTTCCTGAGTAGCCTCACCCCCTGGTTAAGGGTTGATGGGTGCTAAAGGGCTTAGGGATCACAGCCTCGTGAAGAAACTCTCAGCCTTGCCTAGCAGGCCGCTAGTTCAGCACACACACAGTCAGCATACGGTCCCCCAAACAAACAGACCGCATGGTATATTTCAGGCAAGCAGCAAGCACACCACAAACACACACACACACTACAGACAACAAACTTACCCCAAGGATCACATAATCACTCCTCCTTCACCTGGAGAACTCCCTTGCAAAACCCTCCTGTTAGCCACTCCTGTTTGTTAGGACATCTATTTAATGTTCCATCTAATTAAGGTTCAGCAGTTCTAAATAATGTGTCAAAACCATTGGTGGCTAGTTTACAGCAATATTGCCACCATTTCTCTCGTTGGAGGGGCTGCACTGTTAGTAGTGAAACAGAGAGACAGTTCTCAGAAAAGTCTAGTGTAGACAAAGGCCACAGAACCTCTTCTCCATGGGCAGAGGAACAGCCAGTGTTGGTGCATAGGGGGCAAAGTACCTTAGCAGGCCCTGGGAGGTGTGCAAGTTTGAATCATTATTAAGGCTGCAGGTTTGTCATTACATGAAAAGTCACAGATAACATCTATCCATGACTTTTTTCTATGTCCATGACTTGCCCCCTAGGGATGGCTCCTGTGAACTGTGGGGCTAGGCCTGGCAGCCTGTTCTATGCATTGCAACCTGATGTGTAGGGTCACAATGCTCCTCAGATTTGGCCCACCTGACCCTCCATCATATGAGGTTGGGTAGGCCAAACCTGAGTGGCACTGTGACCTTGCACAACATGTTGCAATGCATGGAGCACGGTGCCAGGCCCAGCTCCGTGGACACATGAACCACAGCAGCCATCATTGCAGGGTGAGAGCAGGTGCTGGGCTCAGCCCCACGGGACACAGGAGCTGTTGGAGCTGCTGCTGCAGCGTAAGTGTGGGGGAGGCTCGCTCTCCAGTTCTCTCTGCACCCCTGAGCTGAGTTGGGATTAGGGGTGGCATTGCTGTGGGAGGGGGTCCACAATAAAAACCTGCACTGGGCCCCAACTGTCTGTTCCTCTGCCACGCCGCCCCCCCCACTCACTTCCTCTCAGTTCAATGCTATGTTTTACTGACATGACAAACTATACAAAAGTTGTCCATGTGTAAAAGAGAATCTTCTATCTGTCACCAGTATATTCAGTACATAAAGCATGTAAAAGGGTTTAACATTTCATGTTGGGGGTTAAACCCCCTGTGTTTAGTTAACATTATCGACTGCTGATTCAGTAGCAGTTTGCTCTAAACAACGTGATATTATTGCTGCCATCTCTTTCCTTTTTCCCAGTTATGTACCGTTTCCCACCCCCACTCCCCCCCCGCTGTTTAAAGTGACATCTCTTATTTCTGATAATTGAGTAAATACATTTCTCGTACTTCCTTTTCTTTTGGACACTACAGTAGAAAATATCTTTCTCTTTCAATCTGTTCTCTGTCACGGTGGTTGCACACTCTTTCTGGGTTTGCACAGCCGTGTGACTCTGTGTTGCTACCTCTAGTTTATTGTTTACTGTCTGTATTTGGTGAGAGCAGGTTTTAGTTTTGCACTTTCCACTGCACTGAAGCAATTTGCTAATTTTGTGCAGAGAACTACCAGTGAAGCTTGTTTTTATGATCTGTCCTAGTGATTCGTATACTGGTATTTTAGGGTTTGGTTTAGTCACTCTCTCCTGAAGCTCATTCAATTCTGGGTGGGGTTCTTTGGTCCATACTGGTTAGAAGTTTAGTACAGCTGAGGACGGAGTGATTTTATGTAAAAATGGATTGTATTTTCATTTGTGATAATCCATTTCCTTCCTTTCTATGCTCCCTCTTCCCATTCTAGTCCTCCCCATGATTTTCTCCCTCTTCACACTCCACCTCCTCTTTCCCTCACCCCCTCTTTTCACTTTTTCCTGGGACACCATTTCTGAGGGGATGGGAAAATGTGACAGCATACAGAACTTTATATGTGAGTCTATGACATCTTGTGAAGTCGGCGAGGGAGCAAAAAGTGGAAGACCTAATGGAGCAGCCAGACTTAGGAAAAATCTAAGGGCAGGGACAAAGTAAGGTCTGGGTGTGGGGGCAACTGCACCTCTCGCTCCTTCAGCCGCGCTCTCCATGACCGTCTACTCCTGCTCGACTCCTCCAGCCGGGGCGCATGTGCACTTGTGCGGGCGGGAGCAGCCTGCGAGGGACCCCCGCGGCAACGCCGCGCGTTACAACGCCCAGCCGTCCGCGGAGGAGCTCGTGGGGCCGGTCGATGAGCCGCGCGAGCAGCAACAGCGGCGGCGGCCACATTGCTCGGCGCCATCGCTGCGCCTTGCGGGGCTGCCCCCTCACCCCTCCCTTGGCTCGCTCGCTCGCTCGGGCGGCGGCCCCTAGCAGCTCTTCTCGGCCGAGCCTCCCGCCCCTCCTTCCCCGGCCGGGGCCGGGCAGCGAGCTCCCCCAGGGGGGCGGCGCGTCAGGTGCAGCCGGGGCGGGCTGCAGGCCTGGCCCGGCCCCCTCTCGCCTGCGCGCTAAGGCGCCCGGCTGGAGGGAGCCGCCCCTCGGTGTGCGAGGGCTCGAGGCAGGCAGAGCAGCGCGCCGCGCCGCGCCGGGGATTTCCAGCCTGGGCGGGCGGGAGAGGAAGTGCGGGGCGGGGGGAGCCGGGGCAGAGCACCAGGGACTTTCCAGCCGGGCAGCGGCCGCCTCTGCCGGGCTGTAGTGGGTCCCCCTCACACGCTGGCAGGTAGGGGCGGCGGGGGGCTCTGCGCACCCGCACGGGAAGGGGCTTCAGCGAGCCCGGCGGCGGCTGCCCGGGCTCAGGCTCGGTGTCAGGGGCAGGGCTGCGGCCACCCGCGCTGCTGCCCCTGCTCCCACCTAGGGACGCGCTGCGGCTCGGCTCCTGCTCTGGGTCGGGCTGCTGGGGGAAAGGCGGCGGCGGCGGGACTGGGACGGGCTTAGGCGACTGCTGCTGCCTAGCTCATGTGCGGGGACACGGCTTCAGCCACCCGCCAGGGACAGACACATCAGACTCAGCCTGTTGCCCAGGATCTGGCGGCTGCTGCTGCCCAGGGATTGATTCAGCCTCGGGCTGCGCCTGCTGCTGCCGGGGCTCAGATTCGTACTCAGGGCTGCAGCTCAGACCTCAGACCCTGCCCAGACACATTCATACTCCGGGCTGTTGGTTGATTTTCGTTTTTTTGAGGTGGGGGAGACGTATTTGTAAGGCTAAAACCCGCCTGACATCTCCCTGCCTGGAGGAGCCGATCAGTAAGTGTTCCATGTAAAAACCCCCTTCCACTTGTCGCTCTGCTAGGCGATGTGCTTAAGGGTTCTTGCATGCATTTGATGTGTTGTTTGAATGCAGAAAGCTCTCTCAATTTCTGGCTCTCTCATAGGCAGTGTGGGCGGGCCATATGCTTTTAAAGGGGCAGTGTCTGTGTGTGTTGAGCTGTTCTTTTCACTTGTGGCAAACGCTTATTTTGCTAACTTTGCACCCCCAAAGACCGCTTTACTTTAACAGTTAACCGTAGAATATCTGTGTTGAGCAGGTTTTTAGCAAACCATTACCATATTGGATGTGTGTGTGTGTTGTGGGCAAGGAGGGGTTCTCTAGTGAAGGATGTAAAATAAATTCAGTTTAATATGGGTTTCATCTGTCCCTCTTGGGGAATATCCTCTCTCGGTATTTAAGGAGAAATAGCTATCCATACTCACCACAAAATGAGCTGTATTTTTGTAATGCATATGTAGTAAGGCCTTATTTTACAAGATGATCTTCCTAGCGTAAACAACAACTGCTTTAATTTTACATGATTTTAATATTTAGTAAATGTGTGTACTATTTACTGTTTAGTGTTTTAATTGTTTCATTTGATAGTTTAGTGGAAAAATAACTATTGTTTAAAAGTTTATACTGAGTCACTCTTCTGCAGATGAACCTATGACTGACTCATAATCAGAGAACTGCAGTGGCTTGTCAGATAGACGGGCAAGACATTTACATCTGTGTGATTTATTTTTATCTTCAGATAATATTAAGGGTCTAAATAAACTTCAGAAAAGCCAAAAAATCTTAATTATGTCTACCATTCTAGTGTGCAGTCATGTTGTGCCACACTATTGCTCATGTATGGTTTGGAAGACTATATAGACTCCTATATCTGGCTGCTCAGCATCTATTTGAACATTGTTGTGTCATCTCCTGTGTTTCTGTAGTAGTAAGATGTGGGTAGTGCCAAGGATATGCTTTGAAATGAGAGATCTCTTCGGGTCAGTTGTTCCTCTAGATTGTCAAGATTTATCTGAATCTTGTATATATTGTATGTTTTAATCAAAAGAAGCTTACTGAATATAGTGCTTTGCATTTTGCATGATAGATCTGTTATTTAGAGAATGTATTTAGAATTGTTGTGTACTAATCTTAATTCACATTCATATGCCAGAAAAAGGTGTTTTATTTTTCAGCGTATGCTGTGACTGCATATGAGCAGTGCTAAACCTGGGCACATCATGTATCATAATGCTGCATATTTAGTAAAAATCCATATTTAAAATACTACTGTCTATACACAAAAGCTGTATTTTAATCACTATAACAAATCTTTTTTCAAACTACAGTATATTTGGAATGACATACAATATTTTATTTTATAAAATGAGCCATTTTTAACTTATAGGAGTCTAAAAGTGTCCAAGCGTGGCAATTTATGTGCAGTTCTATTTACAGTTTGGAATGTAAAAATGGCACTGTGTGCAGAACACATTTAATGTGTTTACAGAAAGAAGGTTCCCAGCTTGAGACAAAATATACCATGTTTCAGCCTGAGTTTTTATGGTCAGGTTGGGAAACCTCTTATAATACAGGTTGATAATGGAGACACTGACATATCATGAGCTTGGGCAGCACAAGCGGACACCAATACAATGTTATAAATGGTGTCTTGTTTTTACTTTAAAATGTAAGGTGTGTCACTGAAATGCAACCTGGTTGGAAGCTTCAGTTGTCACTGGATTTGGAACATAGAAAAGCAACTATACATGTAACAGCAAAGCAGTTAATCCTAATTGAAAGTGGGTGTTAAAGGTCTCGGTCTCTATGCTTTTCTGAAGACCTGAAATTAAGTTTGGTATTCATATTGGTTTGAAAGACAGAGTTCCAGTGCAAATAGATAGGGAAATAGACCAAAAATTTGGGTTATCTTCATAACAGTATTCTAAGCATCTCTGCTATTGTTAATATCTTGAAATAATATATAAAATTTTACTAGTTCAATTCCTGTTGCTGCTATTATATCCTTTAGTATGATTGTTGAGATTCCATAGATAGAAATAGTTGCTTTGGCTTTCAAAATGGCTTTGAAATCCTGCCGCATTTTTGATCTTCTCCTAATGGATGTGAAAATTGTGATTAAAATACTAAAAGCCAAAAATCTTTATTTCACTTACGTTATTGTTAAATTACCAGAGAAAATACATCCCTCTCCTCCTCCAAGCTTTGGAAATGTGAATTAAACCAATAAAACAGAGGAATGAGATAAGCTGATCCACTGTCCTTATTTGCCCTTTTGTGAATAGACGTTGCAGGTATATCAGGACATTGTGATCTCAAACATCCTATGTGATGCAATAGCTGAATTTCTCAGAGTTTTGTTGATTTATTAGAGCTTCATAATTCAAGGTCTTGAGTCTTATGATGTCTGAAGATGGCTCAGTTTGGGAGGTCAATATCCCTCTGGACACTCCATCAGAAGAATTGCAAGGGTTTTAAATTCTTTTTCATGCCCAGGGATGGGTACTTTTTGAACTGGGTACTATGTTTGAAACCTCCTGGCATTTTTTTGGCCTCTGAAATATAGCAGCATCTCTGCTATAGTTAAGGTTGAGAACGCCTTTCTATTTTAAAGGTTGATTCTTCTAAGTATTCTAAAATCCATGTTTGCTCATGTTGCTTTTGAAATTTGGTATGCTTCATGGGGATGAAGAAAAGGAGTACTTGTGGCACCTTAGAGACTAACAAATTTATTTGAGCATAAGCTTTCATGAGCTACAGCTCACTTCAAGGTGCCACAAGTACTCCTTTTCTTTTTGCGAAGACAGACTAACACGGCTGCTACTCTGAAACCTGTCTTCATGGGGATGCATGTCCTGGGGGGTTGCTAGCCTGCCATGACCAACAGGACCTGTGTGGCTCAAGAGGACATGTTAAGGTCATTGAACATGTCTGAGCAGCCCCCAGGCATTGTAGATTTCAACCCCACCCTTGGCAGAAAGCTGAAGTGTAACGTATGCATGTTGCTGCAATCTGTCTTTCTCAAAGCCTTTTTTATTTTGGAGAAGTGTAATCTGAGTATGGCAGAAAATTCAGAAGGTGTTCAGTTTATTTTCAGGAAGAAAATACATGCTGGGAGGGGTTGAGGGAGAGGAATTTAGGGTTGCAGTGAGGGGAGGGGCATAAATGGAGATGGGTGATAGCATAGGGGAAAGGGTCTGGGGGAGAGGGTGGGGATTAGGGAGAGTGGGAGGGGCGGGGTGGGGCACTGAGGCATAACATGAAAGTGGGTCCCAGGCGAATGGGGAGGATTAGGGGTAGGGGTGCCTATCCTATTTTCTCCCATCCTCTGTGTTTGTTGATATCTGGGAGGTGGGGCACTGACCCTCTGGGGGGGCATCTTAACCTCTGTCCCTGTCCCCCATGTGGGAGCTCAGATCTTGGCGGGTCCTGCCCCCAGGGGTTTCTGAGCCTCCCCCCTCTGCCCCCATGTGAGAGCTGAGATTTGGAGGGCTGAGCCTCTCTCCCAGCTCCCTCATATTGGCTGGGATCTGGAGAAGCCCTGCCCTTTTGGGTGGGGAGTTGAGAACAAGCATTCTGGTAGCATGAACCAAGAACACACTGCTGAGACTGGAGGGAGTTCAGAACAGACTGTCAGTTACTGGCGGTGGGGTGAGAACACTGCCTGAGATGAACGGAGCAGTTCTCAGGCCTTAGAGCTGTTGTTTCAGGCTGTATACATCTCATTGGGGTGTTCTCATTCAGTTGAGAATGCGATGAATGGGCAACTTCACATGTCTCTGTGCCTCAGTTTCCCCATCTGTACAGTGGGAATAATGATGCTTCCTTCCTTGATGTACAGTGCTTTGAGGTCTGCTGATGAAGTGCTATGTAAGAGGTAGGTATTATTATCATTACTTGGCTACAGTAGCATCTAAGCTGCAACCCTACATAACTACAATTGCTTAAATGACCACTGTCTCCTACCAAGAATGTTTCAGTGAAAAAAAAACCTAGGAAATTCACTGGCAAAAAACTTGTTAATGTAGAATTAAGGTTGCCTGGTGGTATCTCATGGTCTTCTAGAATGCTGAATTCCGCAAAACTCATCCTTAACTCAGAAGCTTCTTGTCAGTGAATATGGATAAAGAAGACGAAGAAGGAAGAGGGGAAAAATGGGGATGTCAAGAGGAGAGAGAGAGAGAACACAAAAGTTGGAGAGTGAGAGAGAAGCCAAGAGAGAAAACTAATAAGGGAAAGTGAAGGGGTAGAAAGAAAGGTGGAGACAGGAAGTGGGGAGAAGGAGTAGCAGAAAGGGTTCAACTACAAGTAATGAAGGAGAGGACCCACAAAACAGGAAGATGATGTTGTGCTGGCCTTTAGAAGTAGGGGGGAGAGGGAGAGGAAAAACATGGGAAAAAGAGGAAGAGTAGAAGAAAAAACAGAAGGGAGAAAAAAACCGAAACAGATGACAGTATAGACAGAAAATAGAGGGAGACAAGAAAATAGAAGCAGGGAAGAAAAGACATCTCATTATTGAGCCTGTTAATTTTTTTTTCAAGTTCCTCAATGCCTTTGTATTTTTCTGGGAATGCATTCCACTATACTGTCAACTTGGACAGATGTGGAGGGGAGCACTGATGGTAGAATATTTTTGCACTTGTGATTTGGGTTGAATTACTGCTTATTGTTGGATTTGTGACTAGGTTAGCAGGGCAAGTATCTTCATTTATATACCACAACAGTAGGTCCTTAATCTTCTCCACCCCTCCGCCAAAAATGGTACGCCTTAGATTTCCATTCTGTTGTTCTTACCTGCTGCTATACACTGTGTGTGTGCGTGTGTAGTAAAAAATGTACATTTACTAGAATCCTGTGCTCTGAAGCATAAGGATGGGAAGGAAATAATAATATCGGAAGAAATGTAGTGAGTGGCAGCAAAGGAAAGGCAAAACCCTTAACATGTTTCTGGAGACCTACATTTTATATGGGAGGTATA